AAAATGTTCGGTAACTTATTTCGAAGGTCCACATATGGCACACGTAACCTCTGCCTTTTGCTAAGCTCTCTTTAAACTTCTTATTCATGTTCATAAACCTTGGAACACGTGGAATATCTCTGCACTACTAGTTCATTCAAAAGCAAGAGTCCTTTTATTCATACTTTTCTCATAAAATACGTTTCCCTATTAATTAACAACGGCCCTCCTTTCTTCCACCTGCTCAGCTCCTTCAAATCTCTCGCTTCATCAATGTCTTTAAAAAGGAGACGCTACTGTTGGTGGAAAAAAGACTGGGAAGGTGTAGCCCATTTATTCGTATACCTTTCTTGCCCACACAAATAATTGCATATACTACTGCAGCATGGCGGGCAATGGCTTCGGCGGTAATGTATGGCTTTCGTACCATTTTTTTCAATGTGAATGATAGACGATGCAAAAGTTGTACCCGATTTTGCAGTCCGCAATTATTCTGACATAGGATGCAACCTTGATTGCTAAAGCGGATGAACGGTCTGATCTTTATGATGCCACTAAGTCCAGCGAGGTTTTTTGATAGCTGTAGTTTTGGTTTAACATTTACCTAGTTTCCAAATGGGAGCTTTGGCTGAGCATTTATTCTTTATGGCCGTTGTCTGCACTACACTCATTGTTATTGCAATAACTTAGAAATTTTAGTATTTTCTATTTTAACGCGATTTGGAGAGAGTTTTTTGTTCCATCATCAGTTGAAATACAATGCAAAGCTACTTTACCTCGTAGGGCAATGTGGGCTATATACACTACAAGATTGTGAATCGAACATCAATGACAGAATTTCTAAAACAGCAGAGTATATTCTAAGTGCTTATAGCGTCTGATTTCCAAAACATTTATTCATGAAATTCGATCGAATGACTAGTACGAATGAAAGAATGAGGAATGGAGGAAACATGATGTTAAGAACCACAACATGAAAAATCGAATAAAACAAGGTTAACTGTTTAGATATCCAGGATAAAAACTATTTATTACAATCACGCTCCAATTATCTGGAGTCTTTCGCTTTTCTTGTATAGAAGGCCACCCATAATGCAATGCTATACCTCTCTCTTCAGTGCTCAGATGACCTGACCTCATAATCAAACCGAAAAAGGACTGACATGGTGCGAGTTCGTTGGTTATCGCAACGCACTCTTCCTTCCAGTTCATTTCTGGATTTTTGGCGCTTATCCAAAACGCTTCCAAAGTCTTGCGCGCTCTGACCTCGGATTCGTAGGACAGGATCGTGACCCCAATCTGTAAATCGGCCCTTGCATGGCATTCTAGACGATGGCTAGCCAAGAATGTTGAGGCCTTGCATTTAGTTAGCCCACCTACATGTTCTTTAACGCGACAACAGAGAGGACGTCCCGTTTCTCCTATGTATG